GGAGGGGTGGGGGATTAAGAAGAAGGGGGAGGGATTAAGCAGAAGTGGGAGAGGTGGGGGGATTAAGAAGAACAGGGGGTGGGGGATTAAGAAGAACAGGGGTGGGGAGATTAAGAAGATTTGGGGGAATTAAGAAGAAGGAGGAGGGGGAATTAAGTAAAAGGGGGGATTAAGAAGAAGGGGAGGGGGGAAATTAAGAAGAAGAGGTAGGGGGAATTAAGAGGGGGGAGGGGGAATTAAGAAGAAGGTGGGGGATTAAAAAGAAGGGGGGAGGGATTAAGAAGAAGGGGGGATTAGAAGAAGGGGGAGAGGTGGGGGGATTAAGAAGAACGGGGTGGGGAGATTAAAGAACAGGGGGATTGGGGGAATTAAGAAGAACGGGGGATTAAGAAGAACGGGGTTAAGAAGAACACAGAGAGGATGGGGAAGAGTAAGAAGGACACAGGGAGGAGGGGAGAGAAGGGGAGATGAGGAGAACACAGGGAGGGTGGGGGAGTGAGAAGAACACAGGGAGGGTGGAGGGAGTGAGTAGAACACATGGGGGGAGGTGAGGAGAACACATGGGGGGGAGTGAGAAGAACACAGGGAGGGAGGGGGCTGAAAAGAATACCGTAGGTTTGGGGGAGGGGGGATGATAAGAGCACAGGGAGGGTGGGTGTGAGAAGTGACTGCTAGGGAATGGGGGGGGAGAGACCACTAAGGGGCAGGGGAGAGCTCTATAGGACAGGGGGCAGGACAGGGAGCTCTTTCACACTACGCCCACACACACAATGCATCCCTATACATACACAAACACACAATGCATCCCTACACACAGAAACACAACATGCTTCCCTTACACACAGAGAAACACACAATGCATCCATTACACACAAAGACAATGCATCCTTTGCACACATACATAGAAACACACAATGCAAACCCTTACACACATGTAAACACACACACTGCTTCTCTTACATATATACAGAAACACAATGCATTTCATACACACACTCAATGCACACACTACTGACACACACCTTGCATCCCTTATGCATACAAACACAGATTCACACAGTACATCGCTTATACACAAAAACACACTGCCTCCACTACAAATACACTGCATCACCTACACAAACTGGTATCCCTATACACTACATACCATAAGCACACACATTAGATCTACATCTCTACAATAACACATCCCCTACACACTCCACTCCCTGTGAGCGAACTCATGGGTGGAACATGTAGGTGGACTTTTAGGTGGGCCTTATGGGCATACTCACCGTCAGGCCCTGGGACCCAGACCTTGAGCTGTTTAAGGGGCCCCAAAAAAATGGAGCTGCTTCCCATTCTACTAGAACTTTGAATTTTGTGACCACAGTTACAAACAGCCTTCAGAGATCCTCTTCTACACCAGACCAGTGGAGCCAAACCGCAGCCCATCATCATCCTCATCTGGTTGTAAGTAGGCAATCTAGTATATTATTAGTGACACTAATCTATAATTTACCTCACATTAAAGGGACACTATAGCTTAATGAAGTGGTTCTGGTGTCTATAGCCGGTCCCTGCAGGCTTTTTAATGTAAACACACACTGTGTCTACACTGTGTCTACTGGTGACCCACAGGAGGGGATTGCACTGCACTCTCCTCCTGCCCAGACCTGTCTTTACCGCAGTGCAAGTGCCCTCTGCCCCTAATTTACAATGGCTCACACTCACAGCAAGCAGTGCCTGGAGCCCTTTGCAGCGATGGGAACAAAGAGGTTCTGCGGCAGGTGGCCGTCCTGCAAGCATTACATTAAACAGCTGTGCCCCATGCAGCCACAGGTGGCGCTGTGCTGGGAGAATGTGATTACTCTTCACTTCCTCCCAGCCTACAGCGCAGCCCATGGGAGAGGGAGAGGAGGAGGCATGATTTAATCTTACAACAAATCCATTCAGCAAATCTTTGGGGGGATCAGCTCTGTTTGCACAGTTTATTGGTGTTTACTCTGATGTCTGTATTAATATTGAGGGATTTCTAAGTAGTAACATCAGTATGTGTCAGAAGGGCCAGACGTTGGGGTGTGCAAGCTGTGCGGTCACGCAGGGTGCCATGACAACAGAGGCGCCCAACACAGCTCACAAGTTGGGGACCCCAGCATATTCAATTTAAATGATTCGCTGGCGGTCCACTGGTGCGCACCAGCAGTAGGTGCAGTCAGATTATATCCTCTCTCTCATGGTTCTGGCGCTCAGTTAGTGAGTCAGAGCACAGGCTCAGAGATTCTCAGCCTGCGCTCTGACAACATTGAAAGTCAGAGCCGTGAAGGAGCGGGTATGGCAAAGAGCTACTGATTAGCATAACATCAATATCCGTTATAAAACCAGGTGGGCATGGATGGTGAACTGATTTGGTGGTGCAATGGGCCACTTGACTGGTTTTGCCCCCCAGGCCTAAGGCTGCCAGCCCTCCCCTGCTGACAGGTGAAGTGAATAATGTTGATTATATCATTATAATGACACCTGTCTAAAGATAGGATATATTAACAGCAAGTGAACAGTCTGTTCTTAAATTTCATGTGTTGGAAGCAGGAATTGTCAATAATTTGTCAAAAAACTGCACATTTAAAATGGGCAAACAAAAAGGCTGAGCTGAAAAGAGCTGACACTGATCATCTTTATTTGTACTAGATTAAGTAATTCCTTGGTGAATTCCCAAGAATTCAGTTTACTGAAGATCCCTGCCATGTAAAGCATCATGCCTCCAAAGTGCCTTTATTTAGGGCTGACCGTCAATATTTTGGACCCAAATCCCTTGGTCCTCCTTTTTTATTCTAATATCTTTCTGTTCTATGAGCTCCATATAGTTGATGTGTCTGATGTATAATAGAGCTTCCCATCAATAATACTAACAGTAATTTATCTTGAAACTATAAGAAATGCATTTAGGAATATATGCATTCGATGGCATGTGTAAATAAGATACAATGTTCTTGTTCTAAATTACACTTTAGCCGCATAAATTGTTTTTAGTAAGTCACCTAAATACTGCCAGGACAGCCCTACCCATGGTCACCCCTACTCATATCCCAAAAACGAAAGTGTCCCTCTTTGTCCATTTGAAATGTTGGAAAGTATGAAACATTCAGGGTGTTTGCGATTCAACGCGCTGGGAATTATTAAATTATACAAAGGGTGTGACGACAGCCCAAAGTTTAGGAGATATCTTATGCTTTCTCCTAAAACACTCATATTGATGTAAAATAGATCTAAAGTGATCTCATCTTTTGAGCTTTTATAAAGTACTTAATTAATCGTAATTTAAATTTTTATATCCATATCTAACATGCAAGGCCCTTCACAGTTTTGTCTCCAAGATTTCTACCCTTATTACAAATCAACTCTCCACTCAACACGTCTACTCTTCTCATGATCCAATACTCACCACATCTCTTTATCAAATTCACGCACTTTCTGGAATTCACCGCCATAACTCCCTCAAAAAAAGTAGTAGAAATTGACTAGGCCAAAGGTAGTGGTTATTCCAGACTTGAATATACCACCCTCCTAGTGGTCAGTCACACCTTTAAATGACACTCCAGTGGTGTCAAGGGGCATAACCCCAAAATGGAAGTACTAGAAAATGACTTTCCTGTTACTGGTCACTAAAACCAGAACCAGGACTGTCAGCTGGACAAAATATTAGTAGATAATAGATAATTAAATCAAAATTGCCATCAATATGTCGGAATATAGAGAGGGTTCATACGTAGATTCAAGTGATTAAAATAGCCTAAATGGCTCTTCTCCTGTCTAAAGGACTCTTAGACGTAAAGAATCTATTTGAGACTCAGGACTTTAATATAATCAACCATAGTATGTCCATGTCAACAGTAAAAGCGGTTGTGGAATGAGCCTTTAAATTAACTCCTGTAATCTAGATGGAAAAGACAATCAGACTACTTTAATACTACTTAGATACATTCAATATGGAAATTTACCCCTGGTATGTCTGTGACTGACCCCTAGTGGCTCAAAGAAGGTATACAGCCCTCATTATTATAGCCTGTCTAGTGGGTATCTTCTGGATACACTTTAATTATACTATATAACTCACTCATTTGAGTAAATTATGTCCAGTAAGATTTACACATGACCGATCACTCTGATCCCATGATGACACATGATCCATTAAAAGTTATATAAATTACTTAAAATTTAATATATCGTATGCTACTTTTCCCCCCATCTCCTATTTATAATACTATACACGCTATGGTTGATCAACTATGGTTGATTATATTAAAGTCCTGAGTCTCAAATAGATTCTTTACGTCTAAGAGTCCTTTAGACAGGAGAAGAGCCATTTAGGCTATTTTAATCACTTGAATCTACGTATGAACCCTCTCTATATTCCGACATATTGATGGCAATTTTGATTTAATTATCTATTATCTACTAATATTTTGTCCAGCTGACAGTCCTGGTTCTGGTTTTAGTGACCAGTAACAGGAAAGTCATTTTCTAGCATAACTCCCTCAATCCTTTAAAAATAATGTTTCACAAGTTACAAATTATTTCACTATACTCAGCATACATTATTCAATAATAGCTACAATCTACACCTTTATCTTAGTTTTACACATACCACTCCTCTAATACCTTCCATTCTATTGCATAAGCATGTTGCCAGGGCTCATGAGGTTTTGTGCATGTCAAACTATAATTTACTAAGCAAAATTTAATGTCAGCGTATCAATAAAGTATTCTAAACAGTGGCGGAACTACCGCGGAGTGGCGCAGCTGCGACCCGGCTCATCACTCCAGAGGGCCCAGCCGCCCTGCAGACCCCTGCAACCGGGTGCCTGTCGCCATGTGTTGCGACCCCGGCCAGCGCGGTGTAACCAGCGGAGCCGCGTGTTCAGGGGTTCATCGGGTGGCCCTTGCTATCAGGGCTACCCGAAGGCTATGGATTTCCAGGGGTGCCAGTCAGCGCTGCAACGCTTTAACAGCGCGACCGGGTCCCCTGAGATGACATCAGAAGCTGGGAGAAAGTGACTGCCCCGTCACTCCTCCCAGCTTACAACGGAAGCCATGCGGGAGGAGGGAGTCAGAGTGGGAACTCAAATATTTTGTGTATGTGTGTGTCTGTATGTGTGTTTGTATGTATGTATGTGTGTGTTTGTATGTATGTATATGTGTGTCTGTATGTGTGTATGTATGTGTGTATGTGTCTGTGTATGTATGTATGTGTGTGTCTCTGTGTTTGTATGTATGTGTGTATGCATGTGTGTGTCTGCATATGTGGAGGGGCAACGTATAGGAGGGTGAGGGTAGACGTAAGGGGACGGTGGCGGGAGGTAGATTTATGGTACAGGGGCCCCGTGGTTTCTAGTTATGCCTCTGATTCTACGTCTGGGTGTTTACCATTTAAATTTCCATTAATTATACTTGCTTACTTTGCTATTACTTTTTAAAATCAAATTGCATTTAGCAGTATGTTATGGGTCTTGTCAATGTGCGCAACATATACTGCAGTCTATCCCACCTCTTCCAGTTTGCCTTTAATATTAAACTGCAGGATGTATCGCCTGATATAAAAGCATGTAGCTGTGGTGGGAGGGTCAGGTACTGTGACAGCACTATAGTCCTGTGACATTATTTCAGGGCAGCTTGTCGACCCACACAGTGTTTCTAATCTCTTACAGACTCAAGAGATTCTGAGGCACAGTTAAAATAGTGTTTGTATTTTAAAAAATATTGTACAACAGCTGATCTCCACCTATTTTATAAACTGTGTTGTACATCATTTGTTAGTTTAAAAATTTAACTAGTGGACGGGTTGGATGACGAAGAAGGTCATTACATGGCCAGATTCATCTACACCCATAAATTCATCGGAGCATCATCTATACTCATATATAGTGGTTATTTTGCTCACAGTGATCTTTTGAAGCTACAGATCTATAAACTATAAGCCATATCATTCAGTAATTAATATAGAGATAGAGATCTATATATAGTTTAGGTGTGTTTTTTTCCATTTTGTCCAGCAGCTAAACACCATAATTCACCCTAAACAGATTACCTTACTAACAGTATGTGTGTCTACACAACCTATTTAAATATTAGATATAAACAAAGGCATGTGGGTGATTCCTGTCACAAATAAGTAATTTGCGTTATTTCATTTGGTACAAGAGGTTTCATGTAGCCTTTAGGTTCTTTAGCTTATGTATAGACGAATTCCTCTTCTACACACATTTATTTATTTATATAATAATATATACACTAATCAGACACAACATTATTAAAACTACTAAGAGGTGAAGTGGTTAACATTAAATAGTTACAATGGCACCTGTCAACTGGCAGGATATATTTAGCAGCAAGTAAACAGTCAAGTTCTTGAATTTCAGGTGTTGGAAGCAGTAAAAATGGGCAAGCAAAAAGACCTGAGTAACTCTGACATGGGCCAAACAATGATGGCTAGACGACTGGGCCAGAGCATCTCCAAAATGGCTTGTGGGATGTTGCTGGTATGCAGTGGTTAGTACCTACCAAAGTGGTGCAAGGAAGGACAACCAGTGAATTGGTATCAGGAACATCCAAGTTTCGTTGATGCACGAGGCGAGCGACGGCTAAACCGTCTGCTCCAATACCACAGAAGAGCTAGTGTAACTCAAACTGCTGAAAAGGTTAATACTGGTAGAAAACTATCAGAGCATGCATTGCAGACTGGTCAGAGTGCCCATGATGATGTCAAAAGTTCCTTCGATGAGGACGTGAACTTCAGAACTGGACCGTGGAAGAAGACTGTCAGGTCTGATGAATCATGTTTTCTTTTAGATCAGATGGATGGCTGGATGCGTGTGCATCGTTAACCTGGGGAAGAGACCTATGGGAAAAGGGCAGGCCAGCGGAGGCGGTGATATGCGCTAGGCAATGTTCTGCTGGGAAACCTTTGGTCCTGACATTTTTGTAGATATTACTTTAACACATACCACCTACCTAGAAATTGTTGCTGGTCACGTTCATCCCTTCCTGGCAATGGTGTTTCCTGATGGCAGTGGACTGTTTCAGCAGGATAATGCACCCTGCCACAGCACAAAAAATGTTCAGGAATGGTTTAGAGTTCCAGGTGTTGCCTTGGCCTCCAAATTCCCTAGATCTCATTTTAATGTGAATGATCATTGTGTGTGTGTGTTTTATATATATATATATATATATATATATATATATATATATATATATATATATATAAATATAAACGCCAAAATACCAGAGTATTGCAGTATGCAATTTAACCTTTTTTACTAGACTAACATAATAATTAAAAGACAAGCCTTTTCCTCTCTTCCTCAGGTCTAAAGCAATACTGAGCAATATGATAAAGTCTAACACTTAAAACAGTTATTTTAATGGGACACTATAGTCACCTGAACAACTTTAGCTTAATGAAGCAGTTTTGGTGTATAGAACATGCCCCTGCAGCCTCACTGCTCAATCCTCTGCCATTTAGGAGTTAAATCCCTTTGTTTATGAACCCTAGTCACACCTCCCTGCATGTGACTTGCACAGCCTTCCATAAACACTTCCTGTAAAGAGAGTCCTATTTAGGCTTTCTTTATAATTCAAGTTCTGTTTAATTAAGATCTTATCCCCTGCTATGTTAATAGCTTGCTAGACCCTGAAAGAGCCTCCTGTATGTGATTAAAGTTCGATTTAGAGACTGAGATACAATTATTTAAGGTAAATTACATCTGTTTGAAAGTGAAACCAGTTTTTTTTTTCCATGCTGGCTCTGTCAATCATAGCCAGGGGAGGTGTGGCCAGGGCTGCATAAACAGAAACAAAGTGATTTAACTCCTAAATGACAGTGAATTGAGCAGTGAATTTGCAGGGGAATGATCTATACACTAAAACTGCTTTATTTAGCTAAAGTAATTTAGGTGACTATAGTGTTCCTTTAAGTATTAAACTGAATCATATTGTACCTTGTATACACAAGTTGCATTGATGACACAAGTAAATATTTTAAGATCCTGTTACTGGATTGTACTATTGGCTCTTATGGTCTCCACATTTATATATTCCATGTGAGATGTGCACCCTCTGAGTACTACAAGGCCGTGATTGATGATCCACTCCATATCCTGTGACAAGGATTGTATTGTCAAATACTAACATCTGAGAGCTAATAGGTAGCTCCATTTTTGTGAGTGTATTTTCAATCATCTTTCATTTTCTAGTTTGACGCATACAATATTATACTATCATGTTTTTCCTATTTTTTTTTATTTCATATTATGGAACTGATTTGAGTTGGTGAAAATATTGGATTACTAGCCAGGTTTACCTACCTTACGAAGACCCCCTGCTGCTCAACCTCAATAGATTTGGTGACTCTTGGTATTTGTATTAGATGTGATATTCATTTTGCAACATATTGTATTAGGCGCAATCTGTTTCTCTTTTTCTTATTACTTTTATAGTATTTCCAGGTTATTAGGGTACCCAAGTTTTGTTTGTTGCCCACCAGAATTAGAGCTGTATCTATCCCCCCTATTGTTTACCATTTGTGGTATATTTCATCTAGACTTAGGCAGGTCCAGCCAATATTCTGTGCAGATGTTTCGGTACACAATCCCAGCAACTTGGTTATATCGTCCCTCCTAACATCTTGCACCCGGCTACAATGTGCTAGATTGTCAAGGAGGCCTCTTTGCACAGTTTGCACTTTGGATCTTGTCTGCTGTGGAAAACATTCACTTCTATTAATGAGTGCTGGTTCCTGTGCTGCCAGGATTTGTGCCTCAGTGCGGTCTTTCAGTTCTGCTTTTTCCAGCCACTTATAGGATTAATGTGAGTCACATCCACTATCTGCTGAGTGTACACCACATGAAGAGATTGATCTTGCAATGGAACCTCCTCCTTTCTGTCATCCTCTATCTGTTGTTGTCTCAGGCATTCCCTTAGCAGTTGTAGCCATCTTTGTGATGTACCGTACTTGTCGATGCTCTGTGCTTCATCCAGGACTGTGTCCTTGAGACTCATCAGGCCCCAAACCTCCTTCCTTCATGCTGTTGTATAGTGTCGGAGTACTGGACTTCAGGTGAAATCTTCCATTCATCCTGAGTAATTTACAGGTCTTGGAATTCATGATATCCATCACTTCTCTTGGCTACGTAATTATTTTAGCTGGGAACCTGTGTAATTGTCCTGAAATTGGCTTCTAGAGTTGTTCTCCACTTGCCCATAAAGTTCTTGATGAAGGCTCTTAGTGTCTTGTTGACCTTTTAAAGAACTGAGCATTACAGTATCCATGTGAGACATTGTTTCATAGACCTTTTTGTAATGTTGTTTGTAATTTATTTAATGAGTATTTATACCCTTTGTAAAAATAGATCTGTTAGTATTATACATCGTTTTGACTCACTGTCCTGGTTTTAATGTGTTACTTTAAATACAGAATCATTTCCATCCTGTGGATTTAGTGCACCACATCTTGCCTCTGCTGCTCTGAAGTGCATTTAAGGAGATGTTTTCTTTGGAGTCTGCAAATTTGAACAGTACTTAACTGCTCCCTTTTTGTGAGTGTTTTTCAGGTTTTTTTATGTAATTACTCTAAATTTCTGCAAATTGTACCAATGAGGTAAAGAGTGTGCATCACATATTTTTGTCAATTTGTTATTTTTCTTAGCAAACTTTACTGCATTTAAAAAAAATATATTGCACTTTATCAATAAAAATTAAATGAACTTCAGTAGAAAAGGCAGTGTTTTCATTGCTGCCTAGTAATATCTCACTGTCACTCAGACAGCCACTAGAGGTGCTTCCTGGGGAAGTGCAGCACAACCTGCAGCGTCTTTAGGCCCTGCATGGAGGCGCTGAACGTTTTTCATAATGCGCACGTGCGCATTAGCCTCTCAACGTTTTCCTGTGGGAAAGCATTTGTTTGGCTTAGATTAATGAGCATTAGCGGGGCCAGCCGCAAGGAGACCCATGTAGTGCTGGAAAAAAGTGAACAAAAACCTTTTCACGTGGTGTTTTACACCTATAGTGTCAGGAATACACATTTGTATTGCTGATACTTTAGTGTTCCTTTAAGCGAAGAAAAAGTTTTATATATCACTTAGGAAACAGATCCAAGGATAAAATGGTTCATTATAAGACGCAAAGGAAGATTTTGTGTACCATAAGTCTGTAAGATTTTTTTTTTTTTTACTCTTTTAATAGGAAAGTTGGTCTTTCATGTCTATTCTATCTTTTTCATCCTAAATAGAATTATGTAACTGTATATTACAGACAATGTCTGTATTTAATTATTTAGTGGCAACTCCATAAAGCCATATATCACATAATTTCTGCTGCAACTCCTGGACTGCATACGGAGCCCAGTGAGTGTGATGGCAACGTATTAAAAACATATTTCTCATTAATCTCCACATTTGTTTGGAATTCCTTTAACAGAAGTTGAACTTATCATGGCCTTCCTACTGTTGTTGGGTTTTATCTCAAAGAGGTCCCTGCCAGGTATATGGTCTGATTTACTTACGTAATTTATTGTATAGGATATTAGAATAGGTAGCCCCTCTATGTAATTTGCTGAAATAAAGTTTGTTGAATATTTTAAAGGAACACTCAAAGGGCCATAACCACTACCATTAGGGGTTTCCAATTCCAGGAGATTAAAGATGTCATAATGTTTGAGAAGCCAAAGGTCTTCTTGAACTAAGCAAGGCTAACTGAGGATCATGTTCATTAACTGAGAGGACAAACAAGATTCTTCGGCAGGGAGAAACATGGCTGCAGCCATACCACCAGGCAAAACCCAATTTAGTTGTTAAATTATTCTAAAATGGTTTGATTAATTACTCTGGGGCACTCATGGCAGTCCTGATACTATAATAACTATGGTTTGCCATAGTGGTTATGGTGCTTGAAATTATCATTAATGACACAATGGAAAACAAAATTGATATAAAATGCTCTTTGATAATACAACAGCCAACTTCACATATGAGTGTAAAATATTTTATTTCTACATTCTGGCTTTGGCAATATTTCCTTCCACACAGTTTTTGGCATTAGCAGAATGTTTACACATTTATAAAAAGGAGACAGAAAATGTTAGCTGTTTTAAACACAGTAACCTATTTGCTGCACCTGAACAATGGCATATCCCAACAATCATCATTGTTACTGCATCAAACCCAAAAATATTGTGGGTAAAAATAATATTACGTTCAAGAAGATCCTGAACTGAATCACATGTACTTTTTGGTACTGACATTTCAATTTAGAAATACATATGCAAAGAATTGGCATAATGAATTTTCTATTCTAAACGAAAACAAGGGCTAACTCATCTACAGACGTTGACTAACAGGACTCATGAGTGTAGCCTAAAAGATTTATATGCATAAAGTGTGAAGCATTAATAACCTATAGTCTACCATTTTTCACACATTTTGCACGTAAATAACGGGCCCCCAAAGCTAATTGCTTGAGCATATTTTGGGTATTTGACAAAAAGGTTAAAAATCACTGGTTGGCCAGCACTAAAAGAAAAAAGTTTTAAAACCGCAATGGATCAGTTACCTAGAATCATTATGCAAATTGTAAGGAAGTGGACAATACAAAGTTTACCTGACATGATTTGATATTACTTCACAGGAAGCCATGCTAGGAGGGAGCATACTTCAGGTGAGTATATTTTTATCTATACATTTGCTGTCGAATTTGTCAGCAAAATAAATAGATTGGATGTATACCTACCTGAAGCTGATTTTGTCAGCCACACAGTAAATCAGTGGATGACAGGTTGACTGTAAGGGTCAGTAATGGTGAAATATAAATGGCTTTCATTAAAAACAAATAACACATTAAAATAAGTTATAGGACCTGCAAATTCCGACTTTGCGATTAGAAGCTCTTCAATCAATAGAAATAGGGTAATTAAAACTGCAGAGAGATAATCCATCAGATACAAATTTCATTAGACAGATAAGTGAAAACTGATAAACAACCCTTGATGGCTATTAAACGAAATACAAAATCCATAACAATAGTGCCTTGATTTTCTTCTTTAAAACAGTTTCTTTAAAACAGGTATGTCAAACCTAAAAAGTGATTGGTTTTGTTCTCACTTTACATAAAGTACATCCCATCTACATTTTTTGCATAAACATACTTTATTTTTATATATGTTTACACTTTCTTTTGTAAGGTAAGTTTAATGGCTGTTTGCATGCACACACTATTATCCTACTGTGGCCATTACAAGTGAAATCTGCAACATATTGTTTTTCCAGACACTGTAGCCCCAATCAGGGGCAATTAATTTGTGCAATGAAACAATGTTTTCATCTCTCCCTGCTTGTTGATGGCTCAGAAAGAGTGGTATTGTAAACAGTTAAGTGACAGAACACAGCAGTTAGTATTATACCATTTGCACTGAGCTCCAAGGAAACAGTAAGGTGCATGTAGGGGGAAATGCACACCTTGAATGCTCACATCCCCCCCCCCTCACGTCCTTAACACTGGAATAGTAAGAAATCGGAGAGGATAGCAGGTGTCAAAAATTAGTAAACATGTGTGCGTGGCTAATTATATGTGGGTGTGGTAATGTATGTGGCTAGTCATGTGCGTGAAGGATATTGGTGTTGGGATGGAGAAAGTAATTGAAAGCCCACTTGATGTGAACACACCTTAAAGGGACACCGTAGGCACTGTATCTGCTTCATCTCATTAAACTGGTTATAGTGTCTGGAGTCCCCTGGTACCATCATTTCTTTCAGCATTAAACAGTTTTTAAAGTTTTAATGTTTTAATGCTAAACAAGAGACCATGGCAGTCCATCCCCTCTGAGCTGCTTTGGCTAATAAAGAAGTATTAGCCTGAGCAGCAATGTGCAGTTGTGATTGGCTGAGAGTGTCAGCTGACTGCTTTTAACCTGTCAGAGGTCCAACTGACAGTATGAATGGGTATGACAACAAGGAAGTGTGTAAACTCTGCCTTAGCTACACATACAGAAGGGGCCGGACTGTGGGTGGCCAGGGACTCTTATTTTGTGGCATACTGCACAAACATGGTGCAACACTGAATGGAGGGACAGTGCCAGGGCACTCCAGGCACTATAACCAATTCAAAGAGACAAAGTGGTTATAGTGACTACAGTGTCCATTTAAGTCTAAAACACAAAAAAAGACTAACTTTGTCATACTGAGTAACTTTTGGACCTGAAAATTGGAGGTGTCTCGGAATCATCCAATCATCAAGGTACTCTAAGTACAGTTTTAAAGGTACTAAAAGATAGTGGTAATGTGACCCTCACCCAGAAAGTGCAAACTCTACAGACTTGTTAGTTGAATGACTGGGCTGAATCACTGTTTATTATGTTTGTCATGCCTGCTTTAGGACAACTGTTCTTTAGCCAGCTTTCGTTTTTTAAAATAATAGTATGGAGTAGACACTTGGTAGCGCTCCTGCTCTTGTACCACCACAGATCCTATGACGTTTGTTAAGCTCATGATTTGTAGTTCAACAAAGTGTTGGGAGTTACAAGTGGATTATACATGGTTTTAAATAATAACATAATATTGAAGGCATATGGCGTTAGATGTTTTCTTTTCAACAGTAACTTGTTAGGAGCACTTTGTTTGTTGCAATACATGGTTGAAGAACGCGAGGATGGACAAAATCACCAAGGGATTAAGAGGAATATCCTTTACCAAGACAACATATTAAGTTCTTTAGGTGTAACAATATATTTAGAATAGATTTAAAGTAGAATTTATAAAGTTTGCTTAAACATCCCAAAGTTTCCCGAACTCTGTTCTGAGCAAAGATCAGTATGGCTGTCAGTTATTTATATCCAAAAGTTAAGTATTAGATATGCAAATAAAGAACATTGATAATCTACAAAATAATATTACCGATTGATTTCTAAATTAAATATTTTTGAAGGATTGGATTTTAAAGCTAAGAGGAGCCCTGGTCCCAATTAACATATCTCATCCGTTTCATTGAAAATAAGGACATTTTCATGCACTAAAAGTGGATTCCAACCCAATTAACTTTTTGTTGTATTATGAAATCCAATGCTACATTAGGTCAGAAAGTCTCTCTCTCTGATGGGACCAAATGCAGTGAGCTCCTTACAACGAATACAAAAACAGTAGAACTGCTAAAGAGTCATTTGCAATGTTCATATCACTTATGGACACACAAAAACAGATATTTAGGAGGTAGAGTGGGTGTAGCTTGAGGATATAGTCATAATAGTGTATTAATTTGGTGGATTTACAATTTGCTTTAACACAGATGCTAGCTGAACAGAAACTGTTAGTGATGAGGTTGCTCTGTACAATGTCACATGGAACAGCTTTAACCTCTTTTAGTGCTTATGGTATAAGTGAGTAATCATGCATCTAGGCAATGACCTATGTAGGCGCTGTCTTACAAATGTTATTCTCAGGCATTATTTGTAACCATGAAACATGGTACCATGTGGATTACTGCCTGAGAGAAAAAGTCAGGAGAAGTGGTTTAACTTTACCCTATACATCTTGGAAGTGCCTTCATAAATCCAGTATAGGTAGTCACACCCCATGTCCAATGAAGAGGAGCAGAAGGCTGCCCCAAGACACTGTATTATGTGGCCACAGAGAAAAAAAAACCATCACGCTGAAACACCAGATGGTGCTACTGACCAGATGAGTATGGCCAATTGAAGCTGCTGCCAGACAGAAGCATGTCCCTGATGAGAGTCTCTATAGGAGTTTTTCCAACAAGCCTCATGAAAAACAGTTGGGAGATGAGGGATGCAGGCACAGCTCGGAGGGCAGGTAAGCGCAGCAAAAGACGTCCAAATCTCTGAGGCTGTGAAGGATACTGGGCTCGGACATACTCTGTAAGAGCCACCTGGGCTTTTTCCTGTAAACTCTCCACGTGGGCTGGGTCAGTGAGGCCACAGGCATCTAAATACAGAGAAGAAGGAAATTAGTTGAAGGCCACATAGCCTACCTGATGGCAAAAAAACTAAACACAAATAAATTTAGAATAATGATTGACCACAAAACATGTAACAATACTGATTGAACAAATATATATATATTTTAAAACTACAGATGCATTTACCTGATGTGAAGAGTGCAATGGCTTTCAAACAGGCATATTCAGCGGAGTCCACCTGAAGTCTGTTAAGCTTCTCCACCTGATCTTGGAATACCCGTATCTGGTCCATGAAGGACACCACCCTGTCAGCAGACATGGGTGAAGCATGGAAACCTGCAGCTGCCAATAAGGGTGCCATATGTAGAGGTAAGGCGGACTGTGCTGCATTCAGCACAAACAGTTCACTCCAGCTCAATCGAAGCAAAGAAACCTGGTCTGCCATAGCAAGCTCTGGAAAGTAGGGGATGTTCCGGGACCATTCCACAGTGCTAAAAAGAAGCCGGGCAGCAAGCTCACAGATATTATCAATGCCCATTACACTTCCCTGTTGAGCATACTGGGACCCATAACGAGAGGCTGGGTATGGTTCTGCACGCAGAAGCTGGGAAATTAGTTCAGAAACTGGTTGCCCATTAAAATATTCTCCTCCTCCTGGCACGCCGGTGGGACTGGCGCTGGAATGAGCAGGTGGTATCCGACCTCGTTGTACAGCTTTAAAGGGAAAAAAATATATTCTTTTAAGTTTAAATAGGTGATATCACTTAAAACAGGTTATACTGTGAGTAGTAGAATGAGTAATAGAGGCCAAAAGGTTTTTATAGAAAGCAATGCTATTTTAAGTAAGAGTAAGTGTTCTCCTTACCATTTGCTATAGCCAAAAATGCAATAGCGCTACCCCTATTCTTAAAGAAGTAGTGGTAGTCTCTGATTCACAGGGTGGAAATCAAAGCTTTACATAGATCCTACAAGCCAAAATGTTCTAAAATGTTTTGACAAGTTACTCTGGGAAAGAGCCAGGACACTCCAGGCACCATAACCATTACATAGGCTGCAGTGGTTATGCTGCTTGGAGTAAACACAATAAAAGAGTTTACTGTAGCTACTGTAAAGACTACTTTAATAGGGAGCGGGTGTGCAATTAAGGTAGTTTGCTAAAGTTACTTTAAAATAATTTATATTACATTTGGACAATACGTCATTGAGCTCATTTTCTAACTGAAAAACTGGTTAATGACGTACATCATTTTGGTAGCTGCCCCTCGGCCACCCCCCCCCCAAAAAAAGGGTAAGAACCACTGATCTATACAATTCAACTTTGTATGGGCGATCATACACGGTTCCCCGAGTACAGCAAGTTACAGTCTTTTAGACTTTACTCGGTATGTTTTCTCTATACACACTAGCTTGTTTATTTCCCCAACCCCCACTATGCTCTATCAGCACCCAGGTAGGTCAAAGTAATTGCCTTCACTCTCTAAATGGGTTTAACATTCTGAATACAAAGCCCACTGCTCAATATTGCAGAAATGAAAATGATAATCTCCGCTATGATCCTCGTCTTCAACTCATCTATCAGAATAATGGTTTATCGCTCTTCGTTAATCCATTATTTTGGTTTTAATCTATACCATTATCAGCCTGCTGCCACTGTATTCTTAGGCTATGTGCACCCATTTATTTTACTGTGCACAAGCAGTGCTTGTATATGACTTCTGTGCTTCTGGGCCTATGTTTGTTCTTGCCTGTCCTCCTCCTACATTTGCACTATGATCTGCTCTCCCTCCCCCTTCTTAGTACCATTGCAGTGGCCTCTCCCCCACCCCCCTCCTCCTTTCCTCAGTACATGCAGGTCATTGGTGTCTCCTCCTCCCCCCTTTTCTCTACACTTGGTTCACTCCATGTTTGCTGAGCCCTGGCTGGAATGTGCTGAACTGAGGAAGTGGCAGCAGCAAGAGGGGGGGAGAGAGGGGGAAAGACAGAGCTTTTATTTACTTTCTAATGCCTGAATGGACGCTTAGGGTTCACTCAAGCAAGGAGAGGGCACAGAGCTTAAAACACATCAAAAGGAGGGCAAAGGAGAATGGGTGAGAGAAAAAGAAGGAGGGGGAGAAATAATCATGGAGAGAGAAAGAGGCCAGATGAAAAGAAAAAAAAAGACTAAATCAAAAAGAAAGTCACAGACGTGTAAGAGACAAACATAAATGATGAGTCCAAAAAAACCCAAAAAACTACAGACACTTTTTCAATTGCTTAAATATGCGGAAAAAAAACCAAACAAAAAGCTGAAGCATTATTTATATAAATTGACTAACCACCATTCTGCTATACACACTGACCTAATAAGGTTAACTTTAACATCTGCATTTCTCATTATACCTTAACCAGCCCCACCCTCTGTGAAATTATGGTCACATGCATAGCATTCTGCAAGTGATTTATTGATATGACCTTTATCTGCTGGGAGGTCATGTGGTCACATGACAAGGTGTTCCTACTTATCACCTGTCCTTTCCTCACACACCCTGCCCCTGGCAGTGGAACTTACAATATACATAGATTAACCCTATCAACCGCTAATGTAACAGATGGAAATGCCTGCATGCAAACTCCGTGGCCTTGGCTTGAACTGTGCATAGTGAGAACTCAGATGGTATGTGTGCAATACTTCTCGGGACACCAATGTTGGGGAGTATGCATGATAACTGTTGGGTTTCTACAGATTTAAGCTAACTCATTTCGGTATTATTCACAAAATGCTAAATCGTAACAGAAAGATTGTAAATTAAAAACAGATATTCAAAATCCAGCCTAACATAGCTCTCGCAATCAACAAAATATTGGGGACATAAGCATAGTTTAGGCACTTTAGGTGAGCAGTGACATGCAATGTTTAAGTTTTAAAAAAAGCTTTAAAAAAGAAAAAAAAAAGCAATTTTCACGCTTGAGAAGTTATTATTTGAGTTGCCATGTCACTGCTCAATAAGTCTGCCAGAATCATCCTTATGTGGCCAGACCTACCTTTTCTCTTTCATTACATGAGCTTAGGTTGTTCTGGGCTGGAAGCACTGTGGCCTTTTACTTTTACATGTGCTGCCTTGCGACTTTGTCTAAAATAGTTGTCGTGGCTAGCTTAATGAGAAGATTTGCAAATAAGCAGTTATTTCTTTTTAATTTGGCAATTTAAATTTTTTGGCGCACTACAATTTTTTTTTTGAAAAAAACACCACAAATGTTTCTACAAAGTTAAACTATATTTTCCATAATATTTAAAATATATATAATTTAAATAAAATGCTAGTTAAAACTAATTTAAATGTTATTAAAAATTATTTGCATTGTATCATGCAAGGAAATTTTGGTATGTTCCACCCGGCAAACTGTTTCTTATCTGTTACTCTTATTAATAAAGCCTAAAAGAGTGAAAAACTACTTAAAATGCTGTCACACAATTCACAAACTGCCCTTTAAAGCTTATTCACACTTTAGTGAAACAGGTCGTGCTCTTGACAGTATGCATAGAGATATTTGAATGGGAATGTAAACAAAAGAAACGCACAATTGATCCTTTCAGTTCTCAAACTGTGACCTCTTTTGTACACGTTACAGTAACATGACACTATGGCAAAGCTGCTGCACAGCCATCTAAAATGTTTTCTAGTACTGCAACTTTTTCTTTATACATCATATCAGCTAAAACTCTTAAAGGAACACTATAGTGTTTGGAATACAAAGCTCTGCCCCCTAGCCCCATTTCCTGCACACCCTGTGCCAGTTAAACGGTTACAAGGCCTTTTTTTCACTCATCTCTTTTCAGTGCCAAGGTTGCTCAGCGCTCACTCCGTCTCCTCCAATGTCAGAGCTAAGGGGCAACCTAATGAGGCAAGCACCGCATAGCCTTCCCATAGGAAGCAGTGAATCAATGCTTTCTTATGGGGGGATTTGAAGACACCCTCATGCACAGCGTGAGGACGTCCAGTGTTGTTTAACAAAGTCAAAATCCGTAAGAAGAGGTAGTCTTAGCACTGCAATGTTTATTTACATGGTAGGGTTAAGAGAACAGGAATACTGTACCCAGACCACTTCCAAGAGATCAAGTAGTCTGTAGTGTCCCTTTAAGTGTGCTTATTGTGCAATATATGACTCCTATATGTGAATATGTGTTGTATGAAGCAGATCGTTTCACTGTAGCTTGTGAAAACCAGACTACTAGCAAATCTAGAGCTAAAATGTTATGCCATCAGCATAAATTACGACTATGGCAAAGATACTGTGGTACACACAAATATGTGCACACTGCAAATTAAGTGCAGCACCCACAATGCCTAAAGAGTGGTACTGTGCTTGACATTTATTAATTGCAAGCATATGAGAACACAGGATACCACCCTAATGCAGACTTCAAGGAAGCGCATGCTTTAATCTACACTATTGCAGGTAATTTCATTAACACAATGTGTTTACAGTGCAGAGTTAAACACACCTCAAGTGGCTGTCTTCTGCAACAACCAAGTAAAGCTTGGCCACATGACCAATGAAGCTCATAGGAACGCATAGAATTCAATGCTTTACTACAAGAGAAGCATTGGATTGGATCATCTGTGAGACAGCTAGATGACGCCACAGGAGGAAGTGCAGACTGCAGAACTTGTCTTAGCTTTTTTTCTGCAAGTGGAGTGCAGGTGGGGCGAGTGTCCTAAAACTAATCTGGCACTAGGACACTATAGTGTTGGGAAAATACAGATTTGTGTTTCTAACATTATAGTGTTCTTTTATCTATGGAATCCTTTCAACAAATTGAAAACTTTGGCATTTTCTCCTCTCAGTAACTATACGCCAAAGACTTGCTGACACAAACTCATTCACACAATGCAGAAAACAGGGCCATGTTTTGCAGTCTTGACTGTGGAAAGGGTGAAACCTGTGGGTGGGGAAATTAGTCACTATAAGATCAAAGATGGTAGCCAAAGCAAATGAAGAGGAACTGAAATTTGATATTGTCATTTTCTTTGTGAGAAATTTGAGAAGCTGTCATTTCTCATCCTTAATCCTTCACTAAATAGCATGTGAAATATTGAGATTTAACTAGCCATGGGAGCATTTCTCACAAGGAAAATGTAAGGACTTTGTCTGCTCCAAATCCTCCAAAAATGTGAACTAGGGAATTTAGCAAATAAGAAATGTGTATTTTGCAGGCTGTCTTAAATTGGCTTCATCCTACAAGTATGTACTAAAGTATCCGTAGTGATTTATCATATACCTAGTACTTTATCCCTTGTATTTCTAGCCTCCCAAATGAGAGGTTTGAGGAGAAGTGAAAAAATAACAGGTTATTTACTAAAGTAAGAATTCAAAGTGAATTTCAAAACTTAAAGCCAAAGTAGCTGAAGTGACGTTTCCAATTTGGTTATTTTGACCTTTAATTTGAAAATAACTTTGCATTCTCTCTTTAGTAAACAAACACACTAAGGGATATCGCAATGCTGGTAAGATTTAATGATGTTTAAAGGGTTACTCAAACCTCAAAAACAGTGCTTTAAGAAATACTATTTTATCAGGAGCAACCTTTACTGACCACCCAACACAAAAAAATAAATAAAACTTTAACTCACCTCCACTCCAGCACCAAGACCAAATTTCCTCCGGTGAAGTCACTCCCCTTTGCTGGAAGTGGAGTGATGTCAGGGAGGATGGAATATAAACAAAATTGACATAACCTAAATTGGAACTTTTGCTCTGGCTAATGACACTGCCAGGGATGGAGCAAACGGCTGTTGAGTTTCATTGAGAAGTACCGCAGATACAAACTGCAAACACCACGAACACTTCTTATTTAACCTTTCACGTCAAAGAATGGGCAGGGCTAGCCACAAATGCCCATAAAGCAACACAGATCCTGGGGTGTTGACAGCGAACCAATAACCTACATAGAGTTTCTAAATATTAAACTATAATGAACTAGAATAAAACTGCATGTCAATAAAGCCAAACTGAGACTACAGCCAAGTTGGAGAATTTCTGAACTTTAGATATGTTCCCCTAAATTTTGCTATTTGGTTTTCAATTCATTATAATTTGCTGTTTAGTGAATAAGAAGATGGTCCCTCGTTGCAGTGCTGCCCAAATTATAAATAATAATAATACACTACAGCATTGTAAATTTCCAACAAATTCCACCACGCTGTACAATGGGCATTACGTTTATTCACTAAGCTTAGAATTACAAAGAATTGACATGCGACATTAAAAATATAAAGGGAAACTGGGCAGGAAATGACAGATAATGTATTGAAAATGTATGAATCTGATATAGTTTACCCACAACTCAGTGCACTGTATAGTAAAACGATTTACATGCACCTCTTGACAGAGCAGCTGTCTTTGATTCAGATTTTGTCAGGGAGAAAGAAGCATGAGGTATGCACACATTAAACACACACACGTACAAAATTAATAAACGGCAGCTGGAACTAAAAATTCTAGTTTTTTGATTGACATATGTTTGACAGGCTTCTCTTATAGCTGTGTGATTTTTACAAATTGCTGCAGTTGTAAGCCACTCTCTGAGAGTGGGTGCAAGGTTCTCTATGCACCATCACCTTTGTATTTATACAATATTGTGATTGTGCTTAACGTGATCTTTTAAGGCAAAACAGCAGAGCTGTGAAAATTACTAAAATTGGAGTTTTTCAACTTTGACTATTCTGACCCAAAATTTGTCATTTCTTTGACAGTTCTCCAAATCTCTTGTTTTAGAGAATAAATACATATATTATGGCTAGAGGTGCCTAAAGATGGACAGAACCAAGTGTTAACAGAAGAGCGGAAAGGGTAGCTGGTAGAAGAGATGTCCATGAGAGGATTTAAAGGTCTGGGTGCAATGTCCCATGTCCCTTAAACCCTGCAGTGGTAATTATTGCAGTGTCTGAGAAGCTGCAATAATTGCCCTTGAGGGTTAACTCCACCTCTGGTGGAACATCTGCGCTGGCTTTAGGTAAGTGACTGAAGGGGGTTTAACCCCTTCAGTGCTGCGGGACGGGGGCACTGTTGCATTCTATAGTGCCTGAAAAATGGCTTTGTTTTCCTGGCACTATAGAATCCCTTGAAGTATGGTATATGTAATGAATTATGTTACAAGGTATAGGGTAGTTACCTTCTTTCCTCATGCCCACTCGGAAACACTTCTTCAGACGGCAGTACTGACATTGGTTGCGATGATGCTGATCTATCTGGCAGTCACGATTTGACCTGTATGTATAGACACAGATCACATAAGGCAAAGAAGAGTGCTAAGCATAAAGTTTAAAAGAATGTCTGTGACTTACAAAGCGCTTCCCAGAAACCAGGCACTAAAATGCAAGCAGGTTTCAAATACACCATATACATGCAAACACATTTTAAAATGATATGCCTCTAAAACCCATATAATATACAACATTAACATAAATTTCTCGCAAGAAAAATGCGTGCAAGCCTCCTGGCACCAGCCACCCACTACAAAAAAAAAAAAATCAGTTATGAGATATATTAAACAAAACTAATATAAATAAATGCAAAAGCATGGAAAATCTGAAACAGGCTGAATCTACAGTAAAACCTTGTATAAGCAATGAGGAGGCTATATAGTTAATGAACTTGCCTAAGTTTTTGTTAAATATCTAAATGTGTTGGTGTTAAACAAAAATGGTTTAGATGCCCTAACCCTACTTTAGCTGAAAAACTGCCAACATGTCCCACTCACTGTTACATCGGCTCTGTCAACCACCACCCTCCCACCCTAAAGATAACATCTTTAGGAAATGCTCATAAAGACTGTGTTGGAATTTTAATGGAAATCCAACAAGGTTAAAAGATATAATAAGGATTACAAAAAAGGGATTACTTGTTTTATTTATTTATTTTCCTCCACATGACAAAAGGTGGAGCTATGTTCTGTCAGTTTCCCAGCTGTCTCTAATGACAGCTTTAGGAAAAATGCATTATCTTGCTCATCACGAGAAAATATCTATGGGGGCTCCCACGGGACACTCCATAGACATCCGTGTTGTACTCCCACAAATGAATGCGAGTACAGGACTGACATGAGCACTAAGCAGATGAAGCACCTGGAGCTAAAGAAATAAAATTGCAGCACCTGTGGGTGACAACATCAGGTAAGCAAATTTCTCCTTCGCTGAACTCCCACGCCATGGCACACCCAGTGGCAATGTCACCATTGGAAGATATGTAAAAACCCCAGAAGGTGACAGAGCCACGTTTAGTCTAATGCTTATCTTCTCTTTTCATAGCACTATTCAAACTTTTTTATTTTTGTGAATGCTAATTGCCTACAAGCAACTAAAATAAATCTATAAGTATATATATATATATATATATATATATATATATATATATATATATATATATATATATATATATATATATATATATATATATATTTTTTTTTTATATTATATTTATTTTATAGAATACATTGCAGAGGTCAGACACATCTTAAAATTAAACTGGGTATTCCAAACATACATATCGTATAACTAACAAAATTATGAGGGTAATAGCACCATTTTGTTCCCTGTTATAAAAGTATGAGACACTTTATTGCCCAAAATAAAGCACTGTAAATATACATACACACACATAAAATTTGGAAGACCAACAGAATACTAGAATAAATGAGATACGGTTAGACAGGTGGCAATTTGGAGGAATCTAAATGACATAATACAAAGAGCAAATCTAAAGGTCAGGTATTTCGAAAGCATAATGTTAGAGGAAATGTTTAAATGGGATTTGTTACTTCCTGGGATTTTTAAGATTATATTTACTTATCCCATATATTTAACAAATATGTAGTGCATCAGAAATATAATTAAATGTATTCACCAGAGATAAATCATAGAGAGAAGAAGAGAGAGATGAAAAATGTGTAAACATGGTTGCATTCGATTTCCTCAGTTTTGTGTACATGCACCATTTTCTTATGTATAAAACGCTTACCCCACCTTTATACATAGTTTTTTCACCCCGCTTTTTCTGTGATGCACCAATATAATACCAAAAATTCCACTACTTTTTCATTTCTGTTGATTTTTTTTTATCATTAATTACATTAATTATCATTAATAAATACAAATAAAGCAAATGATTCACATAAAAAAAAAAACACACACACACACACACACACATTTGCATCTTTTAATCTTTATTAATATCCTGAAAGCCGTTTAGCTGTTACAGAAAACCCATCATTCTGTGGTTGAAAAATCTGTAGAAAAGAAAAGACATCTCTTTTTATACAGTAAAATGTACGACTTTGTGAACCAAAATGGCAAAGGAAATAAAATAATGGAAGACGCATGCAAAAATAAATATTTTGTTGCAAATAGGGAACTAAATAGGAGCAAGAAAAGTGCCAGGGAACTGCTTAAAAAGTGAGCACCACAATTTTCATTCTTACCTCTAAAAGTTACTATTTCTCCTCATTTGCAATGTGTTGCCAACTGACCCTGGACTTAAATGGATAATGATGGAATTTGGTAAATCTTCATTATAAATTGAAATATAGTTAAAGGGACACTATACGCACCCAGACCACTTCAGCTTATTGAAGTGGTCTGGGTGCACTGTCCCAGGTCCCTTAACCCTCTAGTGGTAATTATTGCAGTTTTTGATAAACCGCAATAATTGCCTTGGAGGGTTAACTCCACAACTAGTGGCTGTCTACTAGACAGCCACTAGAGGGACTTCCGGGTTGTTAGGCGACTTTTAGTCGCCTAACATGCGCTGGACGTCCACACGCTATGCATGGGGACGTCAATCGTCACCCAAAACCCCGTAAGAAAGCACTGTATAATGCTTTCCTATAGGGGGAAGTCTAATGCGAGCGCTAGAGGAGGGGTAAGGAGCGTGAGGGAGGGGGGCACTATAGGGAGTTATAGTGCCAGGAAAAAGACTTTGCTTTCCTGGCACTATGGATTCCCTTTAACACAAATGATAGTTGTTTTTCAATTCTTTATTAAACTTTCCATTCTCTTTTAATAATAATTCAAAACTTGGAGTATTTTGATACTTTTTTTCCCTTCCATATGTATGTCTTGTCAATAGGATGGATATTATATTTTCCTTACTTATTATAGAAAGATGTGTGATGAATACACTATATGAGAGGTGTGTTGGTGTGTACACGTCCGCTTGCTTTACAGTGACCTCATTGCTGATTTTTATCAGAAACGCTTATTGCATACTTCAGTGCTGTAGTCAGTAAAGCGTAGGCAACTGTGTGCAGTCTTTATTTAACCAATTCAGCCCTGATAAGTTTTTATGAGCTTCCTTGAAAAATTTTTTTTGAATGGAATGAGGTCACATACAATCAGGCAGTACCGATCTTTAGATAATGTTAGAATTTTAACAGGTACATTTTTTTTTTCTAGCACAAAACATATATTAAGTATGTATAGCTGTCATCTGTGTGTTTTGTGGACTAAGGGCCACTTTAAATACAGTGTTTGGGCATGGCACATTGTGGAAAATATCTGTTTGTTCAAGAGTGTGTGCAGATCTGTAAACACGCACAGCTTGCCCCTGTAGCTGTTTGAATCATGATGAATAAATTACTCTGTGCCGATTACATTTTCAATAGAAGATTCCTGATATCACACTGTGGCATACCACCCCAATGTCATCAAAACAACACAATAATCTGTGCCAGAGAAGAAAAAAACTACTTGGGGAAGTGGAAGAAAAAAAAATCTGCTGTCATATTATGATTTAAGAAATAAAAACAAAAGGGTTGTTTTTAAATATTTTTTTACGAACAAGGAAGTCTGCTGAATGTATCCAAGAGACAAAGGGTTAATTTGTGTTAATGTAAATAAAAGGCTTGGAAGTAGAGACAAGGCTCCATCTAAAATAAACACTGTTGCAAAGGTCAAGAGTAATAAGCTCCTCAGAGCTAAAGACAAAGAACCAGAACTCCAGAACAATGTCATAGCTTTTAGAGTTACAGGATGGTCTACCATATGAGCAAGTACACAGCAGGCTGCTTCTAAGAGAATGTATATAATGCTGTATAATTTTACTTAAACTCCAACCCAATGAAGCAGGTTTGCATTATATACATATTGTATAATGGAAAAACTAGCTTTAATGGATATTCACATAAGAAAGATCCTGCAGTCTCACTGTTAAGTTGAGTGATAATTGTAACAATTTTGAAACGATGTTGAGATTATTTCCTTAAATTCCCTAAAACGTGCACAGAAATTATTTTTTCTATTTTGTCAAATTGTACCCTTTTAATAACAATAATGCAATAATCCTGATAGCTTAAAGACTGTGACCCAGAGAGAAAGTTGTTCCTCCTTCGGCACCCACTTATGACTGTGCAAATGGACGTGTCACCTGGGGGTTCTTTGCAAAAAGTGTAGCAAATTCAAAAGTTGCAGTGCTGCTATGAACTCATTCGGAGTTGTTCATTAAACTTGCCATTGTTTTACTTGCCTCAACTACATCATGCTACAGTCCTGTAATTCTTTCCCAAGAAAGGACCATATATTATTCAGATAGTAGAATGCAACCATTGAATTGAAAGGGCATACATGTTCTGCTAAAAATACGTAAGGCAGTCAAAATAGTTCCCCATTGACTGCTAGAGAGAATACACTGTACATATGACATAACACATGTGAGCATGTGCAGTGATTCCCCAAGGAAAACAATGAGACATGCCTGGGAATGTTTAGTAGTGCATCGGTATATTGACTTTCAGCTTTCATTGACTGTACACCCACAATAAACTCTTTGACACAATGGGAGAGATTTATTAGTGTCCTATTCTAAAAGTGCAAAATGTGAAAGGGAAGCAATCACCAATGCAATGCGCCTGCTGTTTCCAGTGGTTTTCATAGTGACTGCCCCATAGCATTTTAGACCATTTTTTAGAACACTTCAATAAAGCTTTCTCTATTCAAGTGGCTGTCATACACACCCACTCAAAAAAAAATAGCATTTCAAGAAGATAAAATATTTATGAAATGCTCATAAAGACTGTGTTGGAATATCCCCAAAATTCTAACCCAGTCAAAAGATATCATAAGACAGAGTAGGGACTACTTTGTCTTATGTATTTATCCTATGCTTGTCAAAAGGCAGAACTAACTTTTGTCTGAGGGAAAACATTTCTCTCTCTACTGCGGGATCCCCCATAGACATCACGGTTGTACTCTTGTGCACACAACAGTACAGCACTGACATCAGCTCCTGGTAGAGGAAGAGGCAGGAGCTGAAGAGGACCTCGCTGAAGAAAATGATGGCGCCCACAAGGGACAGGTTGAAGTAACCACTGGAATGCACTCGTAGCAGTCACAATCTGGGCTCTTTGCAAATTATGCAAAGAACCCTTATAGTGATAGAATCGCTGTAAAGGAGCACTATAGGGTCAGGAACACAAACATGTATTCCTGACCCTATAGGGTTCAAACCACCATCTAGCCACCCTGGCCCCCTCTTGCCTACCTACATATAGTAAAATCTTACTTGTATTCAAGCCCGAAGCTGCTGGCTTTGTCCCTGTTTCCTTTTGACCTGCCCACTGCCTGCTGACAGCAGAAGTGGTAGCCTGATCCAATCACAATGCCTCCCCATAGGATTGGCTGACAAAGAGGCAGATCATGGGCAGAACCAGCACAATTCAAACACAGCCCTGGTCAATCAGCATCTCCTCATAGAGATGAATTGAATGAATGAATCTCTATGAGAAAAGTTCAGTATCTGCATACAGAGAGAGGAGACACTGAATGTTTGGACGCATTTTAGGCAGCCATGACCCAGGAAAGATCTCTAACAGCCACCTGAGAAGTGGCCAGTGACCGTGATTACAGCAAAAAGCCTGAAGGTAGTGATTCTACTCACCAGAACAAATTCAATAAGCTGTAGGTGTTCTGGTGACTATAGTGTCCCTTTAATATAATATCAAATGTAAAGGGGGAGAAGTAAGGGATATTTTGTTTTTTGAAAACCAACATTGAAATATTAACAGACTACATACAATTTGTATGCTACTAAAATGTGCTTGGGGAGTTCCCTTAGGCAGCCATCTTGTCCGCTGTGAGTCTACTGCATGAATAAATCCCCAATGCTGTCAAATAAATAGGGAGCTATGAGGGCTGTGATGTGTTTTTTTTCATAAAGCTATCTTCCAGTTTCAGAGTATGACCTTTTGTTCTGTTGCTAACATGTCCAAACAGGTACAAATTCCATCCCTTAAAGGGAATAAATGAACTAAAACCAGAAAAACAGCTTTAACCCACACCGATATATTACTTGTCGATGCTGAACAATGTGTTTCTGAGTGGTAGTATTATCCTGCCACCAACTAGTGTATGCCAGAGCCAACTGTAGCCCATGAGACAGGGATGGTGCAATTAATGGAATAGAAATAAAGAAAACAATAAAAGAAGGATAAAATGCATACTGTAGTTATCCGAATAATCAGAAATAAGCATTGTCAATGCTAAAAAAATCTGATAAAAGATGCAATATTCTGTATCTACATAGATATCAATAATAACAATGGTTTTCCTGGGTAGGCACCACAATGTACCTCTGATACATGTTTTGCATGCATTATGACTATTTCCTTATATATATATATATATATATATATATATATATATATATATATATATATATATATACACACACACTCATTTTTTAATTTTTATTATAATTGTTTCTTATTCTTTGTTCTTTTAGAGCACTGTCAACCCCTTGCTTTATTTAAAAAACACTGAAGGGTTACTCCAACCAAAAGCCAAGTGTTTTTATAAAACAATGGTCTTGCTTAAAGTAACATTTAGGGACCCCCCTCGCCCCTGAAAAAAGTAAAGCTGATTGCTTTTCCAGAGTCAGGACCTAGTTCTTCATGCAGCCTGATCCTCTATGTCTGATGTCATGAAGGGTGGCCTGAGGGGAGGGTACGCGTGGCATGCAGTGAGTGCTGGCATTAGAAACCAAATTTGCACCAAATTCACCACCTAGAACTTCTGTTTTGGCACGGCAAATGCGTGGAGGCGCTGAGCTTGCCCATAGAGATGCATTGAGTCAATGCATCTGTATGACTCAATGCATGTCTATGGGCAAGCTCAGCGCCTCCACGCAGGGCACAGAGACACTGACTATCAATCCTGTACGTTGTGCACTGTGGAGGTGTCCTAGGCCGCAATGTACACACTGTCTTTTCTCTGAAAAGGCAGTGGTTACAACAAAAGGACTGCAGGGACTGACTATACTCACCAGAACAACTACCTTAAGCTATAGTTATTCAGATGAATATAGCATCCCTTTAAATGGAGGAACAGGCTTCTACCTGCAGGAGAGCTCACAGCACTGCTTGAAAGTGTAGAAACTGATTAAGTATGTTGCCAACTTGCAGAGCTTGACGACAGACGTAATTTTTGCACATAACTAACATTAGGGTGCCCAGAACTGATTTCTGAGCTGCCTACATAATGTGTGTCTGGGGTGTAAGTAGCCCCCGGCACAAAAGTGCAGATATCTCCATAGGTGCAGCATTTCAAGTTGAAACCCTCCACATACAAATTCATTCCTCCATGCAGAAGTGGTAATGGAGCTTGGAATTACCCTTTCAGAGTAACATTTTTTTAGCTTCTTGAAACACTTTTTAAGACCAAGCTATATTATTACATATCACAATATTTTTGCGATATACACTACAAACTACTTAACAGCATATACCGTTCTCATTGAGTTCCTTTAAAATTAGATTTTAAAAATTATATTTAATAACATAAATTCGGACAGTTGTTACTGATTATATATGAATTCAGTTCTGGGGCAAAATTCTAAAAGTGGAATAATTAGCAGGAACAATCCTATTGGTTTTGATGGTGATTACACCACTTTGAAAATGTTCTGCCATAAATGCGCTTTTAAAATTAGCTTCCCTTGCCATCAGCTATTCGTTATTTTCTTCTTCACGTGATAAGGTGATACAATACCTCCGGTAATGAGGTCATACCTCTGCATGGGGCCGTGTTTGATCATTTTATTTGGTTGGTAGCATACGTACATACTGTTAATAGTGTATGGTATCACTTTTCACTTTTAGATACGCTCTACAGACACCACGACATACACAAGGCCAAGGAAAGTCCAGCATAAATAAAGGCACACTCTAGGCACCAAAATATCTTAATTAAGCAGTTTTGGTGTATAGATCATGTCCTGCAGTCTTACTAAATTGCTTTGTTTATACAGCCCTAGTCACAACTCCCTGCATGTGCTTTGCACAGCTTTCCTAAACACGTCCTGAAAAATAACCCGTATATTTTAGGTTCCTGTATTGCACAATCTGTTTAATCTAGAATTTCTTATCTTCTGTTCTGTTAATAGATCCTGCAGGAGCCTCGTCTGTGTTATTAAAGTTCAATTTACAGAGCATGAGCTAAAAACTTCTAAAGCCAGTTAACATATGATTGAATTGTTTTTTCCATGCAGGCTGTGTCAGTTATAGCCAGGGACTGCCTAGTACTGAACAGACTCTGGCATGTAAGCTTATTGAGCAGGGCACTCAACCCCTCTGTTCTTGAGCATCCAACTTGTCTGGTTACAATTACGTGTTTGTTAGTCCATCCATTGTACTGTGCTACGGAATTTGTTGGTGCTATATAAATCGTAATAGATGGAAACAAAGTATTTTAACTCCTAAATGGCAGAGAATTGAGCAGTGAGACTGCATCAAACCTGCTTCATTAACCCCTTAAAGACCAAACTTCTGGAATAAAAGGGAATCATGACATGTCACACATGTCATGTGTCCTTAAGGGGTTAAAGGACCACTATAGGCACCCAGACCACTTCAACTCAATGAAGTGGTCTGGGTGCCAGGTCCATCTAGGGTTAACCCTGCAGCTGTAAACATAGCAGTTTCAGAGAAACTGCTATGTTTACATATGGGTTAATCCAGCCTCTAGTGGCTGTCTCATTGACAGCCGCTAGAGGCGCTTCCGCGCTTCTCACTGTGATTTTCACAGTGAGAAGACGCTGCCGCCCATAGGAAAGCATTGAGAAATGCTTTCCTATGGACTGATTGAATTCGCGCACGGCTCTTGCTGCGCATGCGCACTGATCGGATGACGTCGGAAGAGGGAGGAGAGTCCCCATCGCCGAGGGAGCCCGGCACTGAAGAAAGGTAAGAATTTAACCCCTTCCTCCCCCTAGAGCCTGGCGGGAGTGGGACCTAAAGACCACCCTAGTGGTCCTTTAAGCTAAAGTTGTTTTGATGCTTATAGCATCCCTTTAAAAAGCCAACTGTACTCAAAATGAGCATGAAAAAGTCATTTAAAATGGACACGATAGGCACCCAGACCACTTCAGCTAATTAAAGTGGTCTGGGTGCACTGTCTCTATTGCGTTTAGTGCCGCAATGTTAAACATCGCAGCTCAAGAGAAACTGCATTGTTTACATTGCAGCTCTAAGTCTGCCTCCAGTGGCTGTCTCCCTTCCTGCATCCTAACAGGCCTTTGTATCTGACGCCGGACGTCCTCCCGCTTTGCATGAGGTTTCAATGCCCTCCTATGAGAATGTCTAATGTGCGCGTGGCATTTGCCGCACATATGCACTAGCGCCCATTGTTGGGTGACATAGGAGGAGGCATTGGCGCTGGAATCAGGTAAGTAAATAAAGGGTTTTTAACCATTCATTTACCAAAAAGGGTGAGGGGCACAAATGAGGGGAGGGGGGAGGCAGAGGGAGCTAAGGGCACCAATGTATAAAAGGTGCAGACACTGAAGTCCAGTAAGTCCCTTAAGTGGCTGTCGGAGTGACTTACAGGGTTCATCCCTGGATGTGACTGACACAGCCTGCATGAAACAAATGGGTTGATTTTCAATCACAAGTTAACTTGCTTTAGAAGTTTTTATCTCCTGCTCTATAAATTGAAATGTAATCACACACAGGAGGCTCCTGCATGGTTTAGAATGATATCAACAAAACAGAAGAAGATAAAAAAAATAAATTACAATAAGTTTAAACATTAGATCTCTGTTTACAGGAAGTGTTTAGGAAGGCTGTGCAAATCACATGGAGGTAAGTGTGACTAGGGCTGCATAAACAAAGCGATTTAACGGCTAAATGGCAGAGAATTGAGCAGTGAGACGCATACGTAGATGCATGATCTATACACCAAAACTGCTTCATAAAACTAAAGTTGTTTTGGTGCCTATAGCTATAGTCTCCCTTTAAAATGTCCTTTACTCATTTGTGTTCCCCCCTCTCTACAAACACTGCTTTGGAGATTTTTCATCATTCCAGGCTTTCTGTACACATTAACCCCAGGTTTCATATCCCCTAGACCCACTATATTCTTTTTACAATTAGCAATATTTGCTTGACTGTGTACTATTGAATATTTATTAGATGCTCTTCGAGTTATCATCAAAAGCTCGAATAGTACTTTTGCTTGGAAGCCCCCCTGCCCTCCCCTCCCCTCGCATTTACACTTCAACTATCAATTACAGAAAGTGAATGTCACAGTCAATAGTGGTTTATATGAATTTTTTAATGACATTATATAAAGTACTATTCTGTATTCTCTCATACGCTAGCCATTGGTGAGTGAAAATTTTGCCCTGGCAAAGGAAATTCACCAATGGTGAGTATGCCATGGACCCTACCGATTAGCAGTGACGAGTAACATTTAGGCCGGTCTAATAGCATAGAACCTGACATTTTAAGCCTTGTACTGGTGATGCAACATCTGGAAAATAAGGACACCATAGGTTGTGGAAAGAAGAGGGTTGCACCAACAGAAACAGTTTTCAAGATAGTTATGTAATAAAATTTTGTCCACATACACAACTTTTGAATCATTTCCACTTACATCCTTCTGCAGCATATAACCCAATATAGTAAATTGTGTATGGACCACCTGTATTCAATTGCTCTGAAGATGTCATATTGCTCTATAAGTTGGTAACAATATATCGCTAAGTACACTCTTCTAACACTTACTGATATCCTACCAATCCACTTTGCATGAGTTCTCACAATGACAACATAACATCCTGTGAATGGTTATATTGATCTGTATCTGTTTATATGGGTCAAAGGCATTAGATTACTATAGTGCACAGAATTCTATGACATGTACTAACAATATATATTAATACAGTCATACCTGGTTAGTAATCTATGGCTACATCTGCCAGTCTATCACTGCGTTTTGCTACGTGGTTCTAAAAGGAGCAAAAATATAAAATATACTTATCAATTTCAAAATATATCAATGTTGATGCCTATATATATTTATATATATATATATATACACTTTTTTTGTTGTTTTTATTTTTAAAAAAGTGCTGCATCAGTCTATATCACTGACTGAACATACATGTGGTGTTGTGTGTGTGTGTGTGTATTCGCTATGATTATGCATGCAACTTGAAGGCTCATAGCAGTGTACATGAAAAGGAAAATGGTTGATAAAAAAACAAGCGGGCATATTAAACATGCATATAATATACTTATCTTGTTAATCATGAAAACTCTTTGGAACGGTATGGAAAAGATGATGCTTTATACATAAATGGTTGTAAGACCAACCTGGTACTAACCTGCAGGTGTAACTGAGATTCCTTCGGATACTTCTTTTAAAGAAACTTTTGCAGCCCTCACAGGTGAAGACCCCATAATGCTTGCCACTGGACTTATCTCCGCACACAACACAGTCCACTTGAATCCCAGGGCGTTCTTCATCCCCCTGCTCAGGATCACTCATTCCACCCTGAGGTGAGGCTTCCTCCTCCTCGGAATTTCTGGGGTACCCTTTCCCCATACCATTTGTGTCGCCGTTGGGGTCTCCCCAGCCCCCAGACACCATGGCCATACCAGCACAAAAATAAAAAATAAAATAAAAAAATCCTATACACCAAGAAACAGTGTGGGGGGGGAAACCCTATGTATTGAATATGACAAATGTAAGATCTATTAAGTTAATATGTCATCCTGACCCAAAGAAGGTCCTTTAAAAAAAAAACAAAAAAAACTGTTAATAGTGTTTGTGTGAACAATTCCTCTGGGAAGAAAAAGTTGAGCAATCAATAATGGATTGCAGGAAAAGTCAAAGAAGCATTAAGTCACTGTTTGAAAAGATGTTAGAAAGAAAATGATTGGGAAACTAAAAAAAAAGGTTTGGTAAAAAAAGCAAACTGCTAAAGTTTGATGTCTACTTTACAGAGCTGATTGAAAGTGACAATGAATACAAGATAAAGGTTGCAAGAGAGGTCAGAAATGTGTTGGGTCCTGTGCCCTTCCCCTTATGGACTTCCTGGGTTACAGAACAAGACAGACCTGTTCTGAAAGACCAAACAGGGTGAAATAAAATACAGCTGCCCTGAGGGATGTTTTGGGGAATGGCAAAGTAGTGGATGGCACAAGGATTAATGTAAATAATGGTTATAAAAATATACTATGGCAGGGAAGTGATAATTTAGGATGACTAGTGTTTAATATCTATGAGGTTAGTTGTAATGACAGTGTGAATGGTAGGGATGAGGTCTAAAATGTGCTAATTATACTCTGTTAGTTTTAGGTTGTGTAAATTCTCTGGGGGTTCCTGAGCTATAAAGCGTGGAATCTGGAGGTATATTGATTGTTTATGGAGTTAAGGTCATGTGAGTGTAAGGATTCTAAATATTCTAAGGTATATGAGTGATGATCAGCAATGTGAAATGTGGTTTAAAAAAAAGGGAGGAAATTACTGTTAATTACTATTAGTAATTTATGATTTATTTTAGTATTAAAGTACATATAGCGTGTACAGGGTGATATGCAGGCTGTGTAGACTGAGTTTTGGGCTATAAAGAATATAAAGGGTGAGGGGTATAATGTGCAGTGTGTGGGCTTTCTATAGGGTGAGATGGGGGCTCTCAATGCTGTAGTTTTTCTATAGGTTTTTAGTCTGTGTGCTGGGGGGGTTGTGTAGCCTGTTTTCTGGATGTTAATGTGATAGCCGTGTACAGTGTCTGTCTAGTGGCCCGGATCGGGTGTGTCTGAGCCCCCCAGCGGGGTGCAGTTACCCAGAATATCCCCTCTCAGCTCGCCCCATGCCCGGTGCCCGGTCCGGAGTGCGGCCGATGGGAGCGGAGAGGGCGGAGAGCCTGGGCCCCTCCTACCCTGTGACACCCTGAGAGGAGGGCCCTAACCAGGGAAGGCACAAGGTGAGGTGGGACGTGACATCGGCTGCTGGATCTAGGGGAGAGGTGACTGGCCTGGCTGGATGGAGCCAATGCTATGAAATACATATTTCATTATTTTTATTTGTCCTGTACTTTGGTTTAAATGAGGTCGTGGTTTCTGATTCCCTACACCTTCTGCTGGATAACATGGGGCCCAGTGCAGGGGTGAAGGGGATATCAACTTTTTAACTTTAAATATCTGGCTCAGGTTGGCCAGAATTTAAAACTGCTACTCCTATCAAGCCTTGACAGTTATAACGATGGGAGTTGTAGTTCTGCTACAATAGCTGGGTGGGGGACTACCTTTGGACAATCCACAATGCCTGCTCCATACTGCCCTCAATGGACTACTATGGCACTGGCTACTGGGTGTGTGTGTGTATATAAATCATATATAATATAGAGAGTAAGCATAACTATGCTTATGCCCTAATTTTGTGGGGGCGGGGGGAGGCATTGAAATTGCCACTAAGTAACCTAGGATTGCCAACAAAGCTAAATAGCTCAGCTATTGACTCCTTGGCAATTCTGAACTAATTCTCAGCATCAATAAATATAGCATTAACAACAACAGCAGACATCCCTTGTATCCTTTTTACTGGGGCAAGGGTACTGTTTACTGTTAAAATAGACCTCATTTACTTAAGGGACACTCCAGGCATCCAGACCACTTCTGCCCAATGGAGTCGTCTGGGTGCCAACTCCCACTACCCTTAACCCTGCAACTGTAATTCTTGCAGTTTTCATAAACTGCAGTAATTACCTTGCAGGGTTAACTCCTCCTAGTAGATAGCTACTAGAGGGCACTTCGTGGTCCATAGCACAGGTTTTCTATGCTATAGCGTCGCTGGGCGTCCTCACGCTGTGTGAAGACCTCCAGCATCGCTAAAATCCCAATAGGAAAGCATTTTCAATGCTTTCCTATGGAGAGGTCTAAAGCGCGTGCGCAGCATTGCTGCGCAGGCGCATTAGGTCTCCCCGGGCGGCGTGATCAGTCTCCCCCGCCGGCTGAAGTGGAGAAGGGGAGGAGCGGTGGCAGACCAAGAAGCAGCGACAAGGGACATCGTCGCTGCCTTTGGTAAGTGACTGAAGGGGTTTTCACCCCTTCAGCAACCGGGGACGGGAGGTGAGCGGTGGGTGGGGGCCCTAAATACTAATAAGGGGGGGACCTAATCTCCCCCCTGGCCCCCACCCATGAGTGGCGGGTGGGGGCCCTAAAAAAATAATGTTACGCTCCCACCCCCAAAAAATATCTCCTTCCTACCCCCTCACCCTAAAAATAATGAGGGGGGGGACCTTTAACTAAGTGCCTGTAAAAAAAAAAAAAAAAAACTTACCATTCGATGTTTTCTTTCTTCTAAAATCTTATTTTTTCAGCCCCTGAGCGGTGGGTGGGGGCACTAAATACTAAAAAGGGGGGGGACCTAATGTCCTACCCCCTGGCCCCCATCCCTGAGCGGCAGTTGGGGGCCCTAAATACCAATAGGGGGGGACCTATTGTCCTCCGGCCCCCACCCCTGAGCGGCGGGTGGGGGCCCTAAAAAAAAAGTTACCCCCCCCCAAAAAAACCCCCCATTAACTCCCTACCTACCCCCTTCACCCTAAAAATAATGAGGGGGGACCTTTAACTAAGTACCTGTAAAAAAAATAAAACTTACCATTCGATGTTTTCTTTCTTCTAAAATCTTTTTTCAACCCCAAAAACAGCCAAATAAAAATCCATAATAACCGACGCAATTTAAAAAAAAAAAACGAGCGCAACAAAAAAAAATCCATCTTCACCCTGCGAGGGCTCAGCGCAGACTGAGCTCTGCAGGGCGGGGAAGGGCTTATAAAGCTTTGCCCTGCCCTGCAATTAGGCTCAGAGCACTCTGATTGGTGGGTTTAAGCCATCCAATCAGAGTGCTCTGACAGGTAAATGAAGAGACTGACAGGTAAGTCTCTACATTTACCTGTCACAGCACTCTGATTGGTTGGTTTGAAATCCACCAATCAGAGTGTTCTGTGTCATTTTACACAGCGTGGGAAAGTTCTTTGGAATTTCCTCACACTGTGTAATTTGACTCATAACTCTCTGATTGGTGGATTAAGTAAGTGGGGGACAGGGGGGAGGATTGTTGTAAGTATTGCAAATGCTTACAGCTGAATCCTGGCTATGTTTGTATACTTTTTATTTAAAATTGTATAGGATGTAACATTCTTCTTCTTCTTTCACTGGGTAAGTATATTAGTACTTGGGCAATATTGTGCTTCGGCACTTCGACCCTTCGGAAATTCGGTAACTTCAGGACCTCGGCAATTTGGACATTCAGAAGTACCCGAATTTCCCGAAATTCATCCAAATTCATATTCGGACCGAAATGAATTGCACATGTCTAGAATCATGTCATGTGTCCTTAAGGGGTTAAAGGGTTACTCCAACCACCATGACAACTTCATTGAGTTGAATTGGTCATGGTGGTAGGAGTATGTATTATTATTATTATTTATAAAGCGACAACAAATTCCGCAGCACTGTACAATGTATGTTTACTGTTTCTGCTTGAAACACTGCACATACTGATATATTTTTAATTTTGTGCTGGGGGCTACTTGTACCCCCGGCACACATGATGTAGGCAGCCCATAACTGTTCCGAACTGCAAGTGTCCATTCTGCAAGTGGCATTCTTTAAGTACATAAATTCTAAGAAGGGGGGGCGGAGCCTAACTGCCGAGCCAAGCAGACGCATCTCGCTAGCGCTCCGGCTGATCCACGACAATATGAGGGCTTATACCGACCGGACCAAGCTATCCTACAATTGGATCACACACCAGAGGTTGGGGAGCTATCCAGAGACCACCTTGATCCGTAACAGAAGTGCAGACTCTGGCACCTACGGTCACAGTACGAGCCACGGCCTACTTCAAGCGGGCAGACGGGAAGCGGCACTGCTCAGGGGATTAACATCCTGTGTAAACCCCACCAGAGAATATTCTACAACCCCCCCCCCCCACCCGCCGGTGAGGGTGATCCCGGCACCCCTAACTACCCACAGACGACATAGGGCGCAAACACAAAAGGCAATACCAGACGGAGAGGCCCACACCACAAGACATAAGACTGTCCTTTGAGAGAACACCTCCCTCATTACCCACAAAGGCGGCAACTGAACAACACAGTGAAAAAGATGCCTCAGATGATTCCCCTGAATAGGAGGAATCATGTATCTCACCTCACCCAGCTGGAGTATATCTAAGAGCTGGCTCAGATGAGGACTCATCCCCATCCACAAAGGGAGATATAAAAAGATTGTTGGTAGATATGAGAAAAGTGTGGAAGTCAGACCTCCAGGAAACACAAGCTGACATAAAGGTCCTGTAACAAAAAGTGACAGCGGTGGAGGACAGAGAACAGACACAGGACACTCAACTTCAGGCCACTAAGCAACATGTGGAGGGTCTCACCACACAAGTTAAAGGAGCACTATAGTGCCATGAAAACAAACTAATTTTCCAGGCACTATAGGGTCATTAGGTCCCCCCAACCCTCAGGGCCCCCCTCCCGGGTTGAAACCCCTTCAGCCACTTACTTTTCTCCTGCGCCGGGCTCCCTCTGTGCTGGGGAACTATCCACCTCCTGCCGACGTCAGATCCGAATGCGCATGCGCAGCAAGAGCCGCGTGCATGTTCAAACAGCCTGTATGAAAGCATTACTCATTGCTTCTCACGCAGACGCACCCAGAGACATTATTGCGACAACCAGAGACATTGCAGTGAGGACCGCTATAATGAGTAAATCCAGAACCATGGGAAAAGTGCATTTTGAGGGTCACACTCTCTCCATCTACTACAGCGACCTTCCCTTCTCTGTCCTTGCAGAAAGAAGACAGCTGGCACCAGTTGCTAGGAAGCTGCGGGACTGCTCTGTCAAATACCACTGGAATGCTCTCTGGTCATCACACACGGCATGGAAACACTCACCCTGTCTTCCTCGGATAATATGTAAGAAATAAACACTTGAAGAGTACTTTAAGGCTAGTTATGGTTCAGCGAACATAGTTATAAAAAAAAAAAAAGGAGTGTGAAAAGACAATATTGGTGAATGTGCTCGTCTATGGGTTGTGTATAATAGTAGGCCATGGTATCAGACGGCAAATAAACATGAGAGTTAAAGAAAAGGGAAATTAGCACACTGCAAAACCAACAAAGACATCAATGGCATTTTAAAACTGTCCAGGCCAGGTTGGCTGGTTGCTCCGCGGGATCGCTCTCCCTTTTCTTGTGTGGTATATCCGCCCGGTTTGCCTCCTCTGGTATGTTGGCGGCTGGTAGGCCCAGTTTGTGGCACAGATGTATACTATGTGTATAACTTTAATAAAATACAAATAAAAACATTTCAAAGAAACCAAAAAATTAAAGTGTAGGTACACTAAAAACTGGAATGGAGGTGTTAGTTAATGAAGACCAAGAAAAGGCAGAAATTTTAAATAACTTTCTCCTCCGTATATATTAAGGAAGAACCCATGGCAATAGATGTGCAAATGATTGCTGCTAAAAACTTGCAGAAAAATTGTTATTGGTTAACTCAAGACAAGGTGCTGCAACAACTAAAGAAAGTTTAATATAAACAAAGCTCCTGGGCCTAACTGTATTCATCCACGAGTACTTAAGGAACTAAGTGTAGAAATAAATGTTTTTAATCTTTCAAGATTCTTTTCTTTCAGGAAGTGTCCCGGAGGATTGGAGGAAGGCAGATGTAGTTCTTACATTCAAAAAGGGTTCAAAATCCTTGCCTGGAAATTATACACTGTGAGCTTAATTTATGTGGCTTTATAAGTATTTGAAAGGTTATTAAGGGATAATATTCAAGAATTCCTTGAGAAGAACATGGTTATCAGCAAAAAATCTGCATCGTTTTATGAAGCACAGGTCATGTCAAACTAACTTTATGTGATCTATTTGTATTTTGCCAAGGCATTTGATACAGTTCCATACAATAGATTAGTGTTCAAACTCAAAGAAAGTGGTCTAGATGAAAATTCTTGTTCTTGTGTAGAACATTGGCTTAAAAATAGAGTACAAAGAGTTGTCATTAATGGTAAATTTTCAAGCTGGACAGAGGTGGCAAGTGGTGTCCCTCAGGGTTCTGTTCTGGGATCTCTTCTATTTAAAGGACCACTCTAGGCACCCAGACCACTTCAGCTTAATGAAGTGGTCTGGGTGCCAGGTCCAGCTAGGGTTAACCCACTTTTCCCATGGTTCTGGATTTACGCGTGACCCTCAGTAATGCCGGGAGCCGGAATATGACGTCATTTTCCGGCTCCTGGCATCACTATGCGGCGCGCGAGGGAGCTGAGTAGAGAGAGCTCAGGGGAAAATGCTCCCTCGCTGAAAACTTGGAGCGCCCGGCCACCTTCCTGCCCAGCAGCCCCACTTGACCCCAGGTGAAAAAACCACCCAGCTATCCCAAAAAGTAGGGAGGCTGGGTGGATTTAAATTTTTACAAAAAAATTATAATAATTGTGAGTGTTGGGGGGGAAATGTTGTCAGTGAATGTAAGTGTGTGTGGCAGTGAATGTGAGTGAGTGTGTGTTTCAGTGAATGTGTATGTGTCCAGTGAATGTGTGTATCTGAATGATTGTGCGTGTCTGTCAGTGTGTGTGTGTGTCTGTCAGTAA